CCACTCCTTTTACGATGTTCTTCCAGAGTTTCTCGTCCTCTTGACCGCTATGGATTTTCTGCTATCCATAGCTCCCTTTCTACTACTTTGTCTTCCATAGATATCCCAAAGTCTTACCGGTAGGTTGTAGCAATTGGGCATTAGAAAGCTATAATGGACTTGGAAATTCATGCCCTATTGGAAAATGATACTTGGGAGCTTGTTTCTCCTCCAGCAGATGCCTTCATTATTGGTAGTCGTTGGGTATACTCAGTCAAGCTGAATTCTGATGGCAATTTGGATAGATATAAAGCTCGCCTTGTTGCTCAAGGGTACAAACAAGAACATGGCATTGACAATGAGGAAATGTTTGCACCGGTGGCTAAGATGACAACTGTTCGACTTATTCTTGCCATCACTGCTATTAAGCAATGGATTGTTCATCAAATGGATGTAAAGAATGCCTTTCTTCATGGGCATCTCCGTGAGACGGTGTATATGAAACCTCCTCTACAGGGGTTATTATTGAAGTAGGAATTCAGAAAAGCTCCTCAGATGATTCCTTCTTTATTCTCAAACATCCCCAGGGAGTGACTCCTCTATTAGTGTATGCTGACGATATACTTATTACTGGTGATGACTTGGAAGGGATCACTCAATTGAAGCAGCTTCTTAGTCAATTCTTCAAAATGAAGGATCTTGGTCCAGTAACCTACTTTCTTGGTCTTAAGATCACCCGAAGTGATTGATGATATTTTGGTAATCAGCACAAGTATGCTAGTGACTTGATTAAGATGGCCAATCTCTCTGACTTGAAGCAAGCTGATACCCCATTGGAACTCAACCTAAAGCATAGTAAGGATGATGGACAACTTCTTCATGATTCTACATTATATTGTTAGCTTGTTGGAAGCCTTATTTACCTCACCATGACTCGGCCAGACATATCCTATGCTGTGCAGGTAGTCAGCTAGTTTGTATCAGCTCATCGACAACCTTATTTCTCTGCTGTCCTTCGGATTATCAGATGTGTTAGAGGAACCTTGTCTCATGGACTTTTCCTCTCATCTTCTTCATCTCCTTAGTTGATTGCTTATGCTGATTGGGGTGGCTGCCTTGACACCAGATGGTCAACCACTGGATGGTGTGTTTTCTTAGGTGATTCCCTCATCTCTTGGAAGTGCAAGAAGCAAAAAACAGTCTCCAAATCATCTACTGAAGCCAAATATCGTGCCATGTCTTCTATTTGTACTGACCTTGTCTGGCTTAAAGCCCTTCTTCATGATTTGACCATTGATCACTCAGCTCCCATTCCTTTATTTGTTGACAACATGAGTGCAATCAAGATCGCCTCAAATCCAGTCTTTCATGAATGGATTAAGCACATAGAGGTGGATTGTCGTTTCATTCGAGATCTTCTCACTATTGGCCACATCACACTTCCTCATGTGTCATCCGATCTTCAGTTGGTCGATCTCTTCACCAAGGCTATGGCTCGCACTAGACACAATTTCCTTGTGGACAAACTGATGCTCTTGCCTAAGCATCAGTTTGAGGGGGGGAGTGTAGAGAGGATGAGGGCTAATATTGTAATTTTACCTTTATTTGGCTCTTTTGTATACTTCTTTGTACACTTCTGTACTTATCTATTCTTGTAAGGACAGAACTGTCCATCCACATATTAATATAAATATAATTCTTTCTGGGCGTGTCAGACATAGAACACACCAAGCAATTCATCTGACTCTCTTGTTTTCTTCTTCTCTTCGACTGGAACTGACAACTAGACCCAAAAAGAAGGACCAACATTTTCTTGTTTCCAAAAATGCATAAGATGCGGAGCTGTCTGATGTAGGCCTTGTCCAATTCCCCAAGACCCAATCTGGATGGAAAAGTCCGGCTATCTATTTTAGGCTTTGTGCCTTCACTTTTAGGATCAATCCCCTCACTTGAGGCCAGTATTCCTCGTAGTCCTGTCCATTTTGGGCCTGGTCTTCGAATCAGAATGAAAGATGTAAGGAGTGAATCTTCTAAGAATGTGCTATAAGATATTTTGTTCTTTTTTATTGCCATTTTAGGTAGAAAGTATGGCTAGAGCTTCTTATTTCTTTATAAATAGTTGTATTCCCATTCTTTTTGGAGTTAGTGAAGAATGTTTTTCATGAAGTTAGTTTTCTGGAATAGGAGGGGTTTTGAGAGGTTGTTATTTCTTTACTCAGGTCATTTGGGATTTGGGGATTCTGTTAAGGCAGAACTACTATCTGCATTAGGAGTGCAATTTGCAAATCAGTTGGGTGTGGAGCAACTCTTTATTGAAGGAGATTCCAAGGTGGTGGTGAGGTGGTTGAAGAACCCTGAGGATGTTGTGTGGTGCTATAAGAATGAAATCAAGAAATTTAAGTGGTTGACAAGGAATATGTCTGTAACAATACAGTGGGTGGGGTGATCAGCGAATGCTTTGCTGATGGCTTAGCCAAGCAAGGGGCAAATAGGGAAGTTGTATTTTGGGCTCAGCTGTAATGTGTTTTTAGTGTCTTTGTAATCTGTTGGGAGAGGCTGCAGATTGCGCCTCTTGAAGGGCTGGTGTATCAGTTTCAAGTTCTGAATTAATAAATTTTTTTACCCATAAAAAAAGTTAGTTTTCTGCAATGGTGAGGTTCTTAGCAAGGGTGGTGGGAGCCTCTTTCAGATGGGGAAAAGGAACAACAAACGGTTTGGCAGATACGTTAGCCAAGCAAGGGACTAATAGGGAGCAATTTTTCTGGCAATGGACCAGGGGGCAGGTCAGATGTTTGCTAATGGGTTGGCAGATGCAGTAGCAAAACAAGGAATTACTATAAATCAGCAACTTTGGGGAGTTTTCTCCAAATGACTGTACATAGTTTGTAAAAGAAGGGTTAGGTGGAAATGCTAGCCTAGAATCTAGTGTGTTAGGTGCTTTTTCATTGTAAATCATTTTTTATTCATATCCGATAAAGCTTTACAGTTACCAATAAAAAACACATTAATCGCTCTCCCCCTCCTTTTCTTTCTCTTTTGCTGCTTTGTACATGAGAAAACACACTCTAGGAGGTAAAAAATGAAAATGAAGCCAACGTTTTTTTTTTCTTTCCAGGAGACTCATAAATATTACCATTAGATGCAATGATTGAAAAAAAAAACGATTTGTTGTGAAGGAAACAAGAGTCTTATGTCAGGTCTAGAAGGAGATGCACATAAGCCTTATCAAGAGTTTTGACAAAGAATGCTACTTCTTCTATCTCAACATTCCTAAGTATATTTTTAAGGAGTAAGTTCCAAAAAGGCTATTTTGTTAATAGATGCAAATTAAAAAATATTGGCTTCCATATTGGCTAGATGCTGAAATAACCATGGGAAAGAGTATTAAGTGTATAGAGGCACTTTCGGGGTGTCAGATTATTCTTTTTTGGAAGGAAGCTCAACCTTTAGAGAGAGAGAGAGAGAGAGAGTCTCAATGTGAATGGGCTGATGTAAATTTTGGTTGGTAATACAATACATTACTTCTCAAAAAAAGATGGGATTTGGAGAATACCTTTCTAAGGGTATTGTAGAGAAAACTAGTTCAAATTGAAGTTCTCACCTGTTTATCTTTATTCCATATTTGCTTCTGAGAACAGATAGGCCAAAGACTCATTGCTTTGGTGGGAATCTCCATACTAACTTGGTCAAAAGAGCAGTATTTCTTTGATAGTTGAGCAACACTAGAAAATCCCAGTACATCTTCCTTCTTTGGCTTACAAATCTCTTTCCAATTGACTGAGTAGTTTCTCTTTTCTCCTCCATCTCATAAGACATTCCTGTACAATGTTGCAAAATCTTATGATTTACAATACGATTCATGATCCCAAGGGTCTTGATTTGAATCCTTTTCTGCAAAATCTTACAATTTTTGTTTGAATCGTACTATTTGATTCATAAATCTTACAATTTACATGACTCTTGTGATTCACTACTAGGGGTGATTATTTCAGCCCTGGCTGGCCCGGAAATTCTAGACTTGGCCTAGGTTTTGTGTTCAGGCCTGGCCCAAGCCTGGTCCCACAAATTTTTAGGGCTGGGCCTGTGCCCAATACTTCAGCCCCGGCCTGCATATGTTTATATGTATGTCATATATACATAAGTTATATGTTTATGTATATGTTGTTTTATGTTATGTTTTATTATATAATTATATAAATGTTATAATATGACACCTATAATACATATTTCATATAATATTTTGTATTATATAATATAAAATAAATTTTATACATATATCATATGCATATAATATAAAATATTATATATTTAATGTATTTTAGACAAAAGTTCTAGGCTCAGCCCAACCCGGGCCCAAGCTATATCATGGGTGAAAAGCCTATCCTGGCCCATGATCACCCTTATTCACTACAGTTCAAATAAATTCAATTAAGAATTAGTTCTCTACTTTGTCATTTTTTTTGTTTATAGTTACTTTTGTCATAGGAGACTTGTTTTAAAGCCCTTACTAAAATATGATTTATGTTATTGAAGAAAAGACATAAATTTAGTTTCTATCATATGTAGGTTAAAGAGCCATTGTACGTGGATTATGACTTTCAAGTCAAACTTGATTTTATCATCTTAGGCTTTTATTGCACAAGTGGTAAATTCTATTGTTTTAGGTACATATATGGTAGATATGGATTAAAATGTGGTAAAATCAATTTCCTATATATATTGTTTCTTTTAGTATATCTATGTTTAATTTTTGACAAGTTTGTGAAAAATAGAAATAATCATACAGTTTATAATACGATTCACAATTCGATTCAACTCAACTTTCTCTACGATTTATGTTATGATTACAATATTCAAAACATTGTTCCTGTGGAACACATGCAACATGCTTTGCACATTGTCATTGAAAGTTTAGCCAACATTTGGGATTTCACAACTGTAAATTTTCTTTGCATTGTTTCTTTTTCCTTATTGAACATATACTTTAGAACCTTACTGTGAGAATATGTATTTTTGTGCAGGTTGTTAGCTCCGTTAAATGGCTTGAAGACGAGTTGGAACTCAATGCTCTTCACAATCCTGGCAGTCGTCGAGGTAGTGGTAATGAAAAAGCTGCTATAGTCCAAAGAACTGCTCTTTCTGCTGCTTTAGGCGGGCGAGTTGACATTGCGTCAATGAGCACTATTTCAGGTGTGAAAATCTCTAACAATTTACAAAAGAAACAAACAATTGATGTCTTATGTTATTCTAGTAATTCTTTAAAAGTAATCTAATAAATTATCTTAGCTTTTGACTGCCTTTCTGAAACCCCAAGATTTCTGAAACAAGGTTGCCTGATGAGGTTTCTCACTGCACTTATTTTGGTTTTGATATCTGCTCCCTGTTTTGTGTAATTTTTTTACAGGTGTTAAGGCAACCTATCTACTTGCTGTTGCCTTTCTGGAGATAATTCGCTTCAGCAGCAATGGTGGAGTCTTAAATGGTCAGACTAGTTTGAGTGCTTCTAGAAGTGCATTTGGCTGTGTGTTTGAATACCTCAAAACTCCAAATCTAACACAAGCAGTTTCTCAGTGCTTGACTGCAATTGTTCACAGGGCTTTTGAAACAGCTGTGTCATGGCTGGTACTTTTTTTCCCTTGACCGAGGCAGGCTACTTTAAGTGTGCCCGTCTAGTTTGCTGATTTGTTGTCATATTTTATCTGTTTCCTGAAGTTCTTATTGTAGATAGAATATACTCCTGTGCAAAGAATAAACTTCAAATGATTAATGATTTTATTAGTTCCTGTCCTTGACTTACAACTTTTCTTTTGGATTGTTAACAGTTGTAACTTCATTGATTATTGAAAAAGAACGCTATTGTACAGAGATTTTGTTGAACTAGAAATAAACTATCCAACTCCAAGGTACATCACTGTGGAATATTTCTCTTACACAGTTGTGCACTATTCAACCCTAATTTTGCCATTGAGTCGGCCGTGTTGTTTGTTATTCTTTGTACCTAATTGAAATTTGCCATAAGTTCTGTAGGTAGTTGCCTTATATCTCTAGTGACATGTCTGTAGATCCAAGAAGCCTGCTTGTTTCCTCAACCAACCTACTACCACTTTGTAATCTCCTTTCAGTATCAGATTTTTGAAATTGAGTGTGTTTTTGCCAGTCTCAAACCCTGTAATACTGCCAGCACCTATGCTTTGGTGGAGTTCCCAATTCCTGCAGGTCTCACATAGATTGCAACAACCTCCCTACTGCTGTTCCTGAAGACCCCACCAATATCAGAATTGCCTGGGTTGCCCATTCTGCATCCATTAAAGTTTAAGTTGACATTGTTATTAGATGGCAGTTGCCATTCCAGTATCATATTCTGACTAGTATTAGAAGAATTATCAACCTGCTTGCACTCTCTCAAGACATCATCTGTGGATAAGGTCTAAACACATCCAAATGCACCACCTTAATGGAGATATTTTCTATTGCCACCTCCACTTCTCTTGCCTTTTCCTTGAATATTCTTGCATTTTGTTCCTTCCATGGTGGCTAAATAATTGCTTCTCTTGTACATCTCCACATTATCTTTCCCCTTCTCTTGGGTAAGGGGAGGAAAGATGGCCTGAGTATTTCCAATTCTCTTGGAGGTGCACACTAGAAACCGAAAAAAAAGAAGGAACCTTTCCCAAACAAAGGAAGGAAAAGCGCAGGAGATTAATAGATGGTAAGTAGATTCCTTGCTTGCATGACAAAAAAAAACACATCTGGTGATAGGCAAGAACTAGGTCTCCTCTTGTGTAGTGCCACACAAGTATTGATTTTTCAGGTGGTATGCCTCCCAAGAAAAAAAACCTAATTTTTGATGGAATAGGTCCAAGCCAAATAGACTTCACCTGAAATGACTTCTTTTGGTACTCATGTACTCTTGGTAAAAGCATATTGAAGATTGAATCTTGTCACTACCTTTGTGTATCATTGGTTCATACTGTGTATTCTTGCTATAAGAATCAGAAAACTTTGATTATGTGCACTTAATTATGTTTATCTCTTTACTTAAAAGTTTTAAGTTGTAGGTTTTGAAAGGACCTCTTCCTTTGTTCTTGAGCAAGAAACTATCCCTGTTACTATGAACCTCTAACGGTGTAGGTTAGTGTTTTTTATCAATACTCCACATGATCTTTCCTTGCCTCTGGAAACTTACCAAGCTGTGCACATTTATTCCAACTTAATCCTTGAAATTCCTTATTCAAAAATCAGAACAAAACAGTTGGAGGTTGGGTATCGTCTGCATACATGCACTAATACCCCCATTTATGCATATATTCCGGAAATAATGTGCAGAAATAGATTTTACCAAGCATTTGCAGGTCATTACTGGTTCAATGAGTAATTTCTGAGTCTGGTAATTTTTTTTTGATTTATTATTTAATTGAACTGAGTAGTGTACTTCTAGAAATATATTGACTTTATAATCCCTATTTGTCAATATGATGATTGATAGGTTACTTTAAATGTTGGGGGCTTTCTACATATTGGTTTTGTCTGATCCTTGTAATTGGGTGTCCAGGAGGATAGAATTTCAGATACTGGCAATGAAGCTGAATTAAGGGACTCTACTCTTTCTGCTCATGCCTGCTTTCTCATAAAAAGCATGTCACAGAGGGAGGAAAACGTACGGGACATCTCTGTTAGTTTGTTGGTTCAACTTAGAGATAAGTTTCCACAGGTAAAACTATGCTTCTAATGCTTTACTCTTGTGCATATTACTTCTAGGAAAAAGTTAGTTGTATGTCTGAACAAATGGATTTATCTACATGCAGATTTTGTGGAACTCTTCATGTCTGGATTCTCTGCTATTCTCGGTTAATACTGATTTGTCTTCTTCCCTTGTGAATGATCCGGCCTGGGTAGCTACAGTTCGTTCTTTGTATCAAAGGATTGTTCGGGAGTGGATTACAAATTCACTGTCATATGCACCATGCACTAGTCAGGGTCTTCTACAGGTTTTCTTACAAGCTTATATATACTTCATGAGGGAAATCATTATAGAATTATGAAGTTGCTCAGCTTATCTCTATTATGATTGTTATTTAACTCTTTTAAAGCTAACATTATATGCCAACTTTTCGGGCATATTTCATATCATTTTCCTACAGTCTAAAACACTTTTACTTAATTTCTTTTTCTATTGTCATAGGTTACTATTTTATTTGTTGTAATAGTCATAGGTGTACCTTTATTTGCTAGGTCTTTATCTGGTGTGTTTTCAGAAGTTTGTGGACAATAAAGATGCAAATATTGAAAATTCTCTTTTAGCGTCAGTTTCACACTAAAACGTCAGTTTGTCTGATGTCTATCTCAAATCACATTTTTGTCCATACATATAACATAGTGTCTTTATTCTTTAGGGGGAATGTCTCAATGGATGCTCAATGCCACCATTAACAAATGACTCTTCATTGGAATGCCGATCCAACTTCCATGCATATGTTTTGTTCCATTTCTTTTTTATTGTCTCTAACATTTTATTTCTTGTAATAGCCCCACTGATGGTTTCTTTATGTGGAAATTCTCAGGCTAATATAACAATTTGTAGTTGAGGATTCTCTTCACACTATATGCTACTTGTGCATGAAGCAAACATTCTTGGTAAATGTGTCACTGAGGTGCAAAAATTTCTGTTCCTTGTCAGTTGTCAAGATGTAGTAATGACAGTGAACAGGGCCTATTGTGACTTGTCAAGGCCTTGTGGTGGACTGTTATTCATGCTGATGATCTTTGGTTGTGGCTGAAGGGGCACAATTTTGACAGTGTTTGGAGTAGAGATTTCTGAGCAGCCATCTGGCACCACATGCTGGGCAGTATCCAATTCATGGACCTCATGCAAGGGCAGCATCCTTTTCCTAGAAATCCCGTATTAGTCACTTATGAAGGTTGGGGTGAGAGTGGCCTCCTGGTTATCAAACTAATGGAATCAGATCATCTTTCAAAGTAACCAGGACTTGGGGGCTAATGTATGGCTCATGTTGGTGACATGTCGATCAATTTTAAGAGCAACTTCCTCTCTCCCTTATCTATTTTCTAATGAGCTTTGTCTTTCAACATAGCCTTTTGCTCTCCCTTCACCCTGGGCAATATGACCAAACTGCTTGCCTTCTATTTGGATTGTCACCAGAATCTCACTATGAGCTCTGGTTCAATAATGGTGTGTTTTGTATAGGTTTTCCTACCTTTTTTTTTTTTGAGAAAAGGTTAACCAAATTTCATTAAAAGAAGCAAAGAGTACATGAGCAGATGTACTACAAAGGGAAACAATCCCAAACAGCTAAGAAAAAGATTACTGGGGAGCCTATTGATATACAGATTTTCTAATCTTGCTCCAATTTTAGCTAATCCATTTGCAATGCGATTCAGTTCCCTTGGGTTCCACAACAAGTTTGCATTTAGGTCTTACAAGGAATCTCTTGCCTCTGCCAGATAATGACTCAACCTCCAAGGACTCCCCTCCTTGTCCTTAGTCACTTAATGGTATTAGCTGTATTTCCTACGATAGATAAATTCTGAATGCCCAATCTTTTTATTATTCTGATTCCAGTGAGAGCAGCCATCACTTCAGCCTCAGTTGAGTCAGCATAGCTGATTGGGCCACTGAAGACCCAGTAGATATTACCCAGTTCATCCCTCAAAATGCCCCCAATTCCAGCTATACTAGGATTGCCTGCAGCACTTCCGTCAAAGTTTAAAGTCATCCCTCCTCCGTTAAGTGGTACAGGCTGTCTCTGGATTGATTAAGGGTAGATAGGAAGGAACATAATTGTTTGGATATTTCTGCTAAGTTCATTGAGAGAGAGAGAGTCCTTGGAACAACTCTGAATTAGCAGCCCAGAGATTACAATGAAAGGAGATATCTGAGATTAACTCTTCAAGAGATCTGATTTTGTTGTCAAATACATGCTTGTTTCTTTCCTCCCAAACTCCCTACAGAATTGCATGTAGCACCTCTTTTACTCAGGCATGAGCCTTTCCACTGATGAAGAAATTCCTGAATATGCTCTGGAAAAACCCAATTATAAACAGCCAGGTTTAAGAAGTGACACCAAATCTTTTGAGTGAATTTTCTGTGGATAAGTAGATGATCAGCTGATTCACCTTCTCTAAGGCAACAAACAGGCATGAGGAGAAATATGAGATCTTCCCAAACTTTTTTTTCAGAAGAAGGTCACAGGTATTTATTCTCTGTAGGTATGCTTCTCAAACAATGAAACAAACTCTTGATGGAATGTGACTACACCAAATCTTCTTAAAAGGGAAAGAAGAGTTTTGTTCACCTGCAGTTAGAGCCTTGAACATAGACTTGGAAGAAAAATCACCATTTGGGTGGAGGGTCCACATTCGGGTGTCAGTGGAAAGAGGAGACAGTTGAATCTTGATCTAATGAGAGATTGAAGAGTCTAGGGAAAGAGGCTGCTAGGGTGGTGTTCTCCCACCAGAGGTCTTTCTATAATTTTATTTTAGTGCTATTTCCCACTTTAAATCTAATAAAAGGAAGGAAAACGAATATGAAGAGACTATACCTTTCCAAGGATTTGAAGTCTTTGCCCGGTTCAAATGAAGATTGCTATCCCACCCATTTGCACTTGTTCCATATTTGCTGGAGATGACAGCTGCCCCAAGAGCATTGAACTCGATAGGGAATCTCCAAAGCCATTTGCTTAGAAGAGAGGTATTTTTCTCTTTTAGTTGTCCAACTCCCAATCCTCCTTCCTCCTTTGGCTTACTAACTTGGTCCCAACTTACCAAGTGGTTTCTTTTCTCCCCTCCTCCATTCCACAGAAAATTTCGTTGGATTTTCTCTAGGAGGTTTCTCACTTTAGTCAGAATTTGGAAGACCGAAAGGGAGTAGATTAGCAGATTTGCTAGGGAGGCCTTTAAGAGAGAGTCTTCCCCCTTTTGACAGATAACACTTCTTCCAGGAAGCTAGTTTCTTTTCACACTTCTCCACTACCGTCCCCCAAAAGCTTAGAGTTCTTGGGTTTCCTCCAAGTGGCATCCCCAAATAGGAAATAGGGAGGTTCTCCACTTTACAATCCAAAATAGATTTGAAGTGCTTTAATAGAACCTCTTATATTGAATTTATGGGTACAATGCTGCTTTTACTAAAGTTGACCCTCAACCCAGTGATTAATTCAAAGCAATCGATTACCCTTTTCGCATTAGAGATGGTCTCCAAGGAAGCATCCAAGAATAAGATGATGTCATCAGCAAATTGCATATGAGAGATCTGAACTGAATCTCTCCCCACTTCAAATCCCTTAACCAGACTTAGTAGCTAGGCTTTGTGAAACAAATAATTGCAGATATCTATCACCAGGGTAAATAGGAAAGGAGAGAGTGGGCATCCCTGTCTAAGCCCTCGGTTAGCCTTGAAATAACCCTTAGGCTCTCCATTTAGGAGCACTGAAAACCAAGATGAGCCAATACAACCTCTGATCCACTTGGTCCATCTACTGCCAAAACCTCTTAATCTCAAGCAATCTAAGATGCAATCCCAGTCCACTTTATCATAGGCCTTTTCAAGGTCTAATTTGACTAGGAACCCTGACATCCCGAGAGCTTTTTCCACACATTCATTTGCAATTAAAATACTGTCCACAATCTATCTTCCTTTAACAAAAGCAAATTGATTTGGTGAAATCAGATCTCCTAAGACTTCTTTAAGTCTTCTTGCTAGAACTTTAGCCAATATTTTGTAGATGATCCCTACCAAGCTTATTGGTTTAAAGTGCTTAACCTCCAAAATTCCCCCTTTCTTTGGAATTAGACACCGAAAAGTTGAGTTTAAACCTTTATTTACAATGGTGGAGGATTGAAACCCCCTAAAAAACTCTAGCAGGTCTTCTTTAACAATGTCCCAACACTTTTGAAAGAAGAACAAGGGGAATCCATCTGGACTGGGAGCCCTATCTCCATCCATTTTGGGACTGCCTCTTTGATTTCTATCTCTTCAAAACTTCTTTCCAACCAAGCTTTCTTGTCTAATGGCAGGGTCGATCCTTCCCAACTGCTCAAGTTGTACCTACAGGGGCTTTCCTTAGAGTAGAGGCTTTTAAAGTATGAGAGGAAGGCTTCTATGATCTCCTCAGAATTTCCACTTCCCTTTGATTCACTTTCACTTTAGAGATGAAGTTTTTCCTGCATCTTCCCGAGGCATAAACATGGAAGAATCTAGAGTTGTTGTCTCCATTCAACCATCTCACTTTTGATCTCTGCCTCCAATAAATTTCCTCTTTCCTGACTACCTTTTCCCATAATTTCCTCAACTCAGCTCTTCTTCTTCTGCCCTAATCATCTAAAGTGTCATTTTGCTCCTTTACATCTTACTCATCCAGCTCCGTTAGCATTTTCCTTTTCTCATCTTCAAAGGCTTTGTACTACTCTTTTCCCCAAGATTTCAGCTTCCTTTTCAGGAATTTTAATTTCTGTAAGAGCCTGAAACCAGCCTATCCCTCTACTTTATATTCCTCCCACCAACCACCTACAATCATCTTTGAAAGCTAAATTACTGTAGCCGAAGTAGCAGAAAAGAGAAGAAGAAGAAGAAGAGATGCTGGAATGTCGAACTGCACTGCTCAGTCGAAAATACTATTATTTATATTATGATGTAGTACAATGATACAGGAAGTTACTAGAATGCCCCTGATTAGTGATGGGACACCCAGACAACTTAAAACATTAAACAGGATTAGGCCCATTAACAAAGGCCCAGTACAGGACAACTTAAACTTAAGTATAGGCTAATAAGAACTCTTATCAGCCGGATATTCATACATACAAAGACTTCAATCAAACAATCTTAAAGTCCTTGTGAGAGGTCCACCATTTTTCCAGTCTAAAAGGGGGCTTTCTTTTAATGATTAAATCAGCGTTCAGCATGATAGACCAGTGGTCTGAAATGCAACGAGGGCATAATTCCTAGGTCAGATTGGGAAATCTTTCCACCCAG